GGACGTTACATTATTTTGCGAGTGTGATCATCGTGTTAGGATTATTTTGAGCAGCATCCTGAAATACTAAGTGTGACTACTATTCTCCTTTTTCGTTAGTTACTAAGAGAAAAACGTGCAATTTCGAACCCCCGTATTACTGGTATGTTCACATCTTTTCATATAACTAATCAAGAAAGTTTCTTTTTGTTTTAGAACTTGCGGTCACACGATGGGTGCGGTTCCCGGGGGTGTAGTTTCTGTGGACGCGGATGCCGTACCGGAGGACCCGGTTCGGGTCGAGCAGGGTTGGCTCGAAGGTAGGTTTGCAGACTCCCCGGTACTCTTGTATTTGATGCTTTGCGATCGATAACTGCGACATCATCGTCGGAGTAAAGCTGATCGAGTCGCAACGAACGCAAAGAATTAACAAACTCGTATATCCGCGCATATTTTTCTCGTTGTGCCATTAATTCGTATCTAATCTGCAAAACTATACTTTTTTGTTCCAGATCTGTAGCGGAACACGGCTAGCTCTGAGTTCCTGGTTTTTCGGTGAGTCAGACAAATGAGAATGAAAAACGAACGGTGGTGAATATAAGATGGTGGGCGTTTGTAGAGTCTCGTCGAAATCAATGCAATTTACTTAGCTCGTAGCTTTTTGCACGTCGACTTTCGCATGTACTTGTTCATGTCATTCACCAAGATACACTGCTTGCGATAATCAGGGGATTACCTCTTTAAATGCTCGTATTATGCAACGGATATTTTAATCTCATTGAATATTTTTTTTATTGAAATATATCTAGTCTCCGTATTTCCTTTTAATGTTTCAAATTTTGACAAGCTTGTTTATGCAGGGTGTTATTGAAAAGTGAATCGAACAAATTTACAGATTTGTAGTATACGCATTAAACTGAATAGAAAGAAATGCTCAGTCAACATAGACCTATAACATTAAAGATTTCTTATTTAATTTAGTACATACTACAAATTTGTGTGTAAAGTTTTAAATCACCTTCCCATAACATTTTGTCTAAAAATATTTTGGCTCTTGTTATATTTAATTAAGATGAAGAATTATTCATCATAAATTTTTCTGTGTTCATTCTTATTCGCTAATTGTTTTAAGTAATTAAAAACGCGAATAATTTGCTTCACTATACGTGGCACTCGCAATTATTTATTTCACGTAAATCGCACTGATTGCCGATGAGAAAATTTATCACATAAAGTATTTTGTGCGAAATTACTCGAGAAAGACTTAGGTAGTGTGTTTCTAGTATTGAAAAATTAATTATCAGTAACTGCTGTGACATTGCTGTGAAAGTATTTTTATTAAATCAGTTATACTGTTAATGACAAAATGCTACTTACTTCAGTTCGCATAAGTTCGGGGATTACTTAATGTTGCATATAACCCGTGAACGTTAATGGTACGGAAGCTCCATGCGTGTGCTTAAAACTTTGTTACGACACAGCGCGATCCGTCGAGTCGAAGGGGATACGGCTATCCCGACTGTGTTCGTGTAATCATGTTTCGAACAGTCTCGGCAAAACGATGGCGCAATGTTCCGACGACCAGTCGCTTTAATCTTTTAGCTTTTTCAACACTCACGATACACAAGTGCAGAAAATTCCGGTTTCCTCCTTGCGGAATGTTACATAACGGTAACATAATGATAATTGTTCCAATCGCCTTCACCAACGACAGTAAAAACACACAATACAAGAAGCTTCTTCCGTACCTTAAACGCGTACTTAACAGTTAACGTTCAGCTGTGTAACAGAGCCATTACACAGTTATCCCCACGCGCGCACGCAGAACAATCGCGAAACAAATACGAAATATGACACGGGAGTTTTGTTTTTCCCAGTTATTTATGTGAAATTTATTTCGTTAGACCACACACGGAATGGCTATTTGATTACAGCTGGATCGCAATAACAATGAAACACGAATTCTATTGCTAATTGATAAAATTTTGCGGTGCTTTTCGAGGAAACAACGTTCTGCGGTTTCGGTATGAACGTAGAGATGTCATCTATGTTCGAACACACCAAATATCTATCGAGCTCTTCACGAACGAAGAATACGTGGCCGGAATTCGTTCTAAAACTAAGACAACGGCGATAGATTTTGTTTCATAGGACTCTGTTTGTCTCATGGGAGAGTTACGCAAGGAATGTATTGCACATTCGAAATTGATATATGTTATATACACGCAAGTAAGAAAAAAAAAGAAACGCCTGTTACGCCTTTTAAAGAGATTTCAGAACGACATGCTTGTTTCCTATCCATAGCGACTTTTATCTACGCTATATATACTCGGCGGCCCAATAAAATTTTCCCCCTAATACGCGAGTATGAGGATAAGTTTTATCTCTTGCTTTAAAGTTCAGAACTTTGTCCGCGGCAGCAATTCCAAAATTTCCTCTTTAAGCTCGGCACCAACGTAAGCGCGCCTGTATCGATCGATAGTCCACCTCTCTCTCTTCTCTCCCCTTCTCCCTTTCTCCTCTTTGCCCCCTCTCTCTCTCACTCTCTCACCGTTTCTCCTCTTTCTTTGTCATTCTCTTTGGGATGCGGCAATTGTACAACGAAACCAATGACATAAAACTATACATGCACGCGTGGGGTTAAACGACGACGTGCGTTGAATGCTGTTTCCTCGTCGCTGACATTAAATGTGGCGTATCTATCTATTCTTTTTTATGGGTTCGATAACACGTCATTACGACAAGAACTCGAACATCGACACGGCATCGAAACGACTCACTATTTTGGTCCTATTACGTTATCCTTCCCTTCCGCTTTCTTTTTTGCTGCCTTCTCTTTTAATAAACGAACTCAGTATCGTGTGCGTTGGTTTCTGGCCGCAGAAATTGTTTTGCCGGCCGCGGTCGCGTGATGCTTCGCTATATTTCACGGTAATCTTATTTCATTAAAAAAATATGCGCCGAGATATTGCAGTTTATGTATAATTTGTATTCTTAAAAATGCAAACGACGTACGCGACATCAGAGGACCCCGAAATTCGCGGGGAAAATTCTCCTGCCGATTCGCGATGAGAAAGAGGGAGGCACGAAGGGAGAGCGTCACCTCCCCCGGCTTGATCTTTGTCGCTCGTTAATTTCGTTTCGTTTTTATATCGGCCGGTCGAAATTGTTTACCGGTCGTGACGCCGTTACGCCGCACTCGGCTATTATTACTTTGTAAAATTCTAGATTACATTGAGATGAATTATGTATTGCTCAATAAAGCGTGAATCATATTAGCGGTTACGGTAACGAACGAACGAACGAAACGCGCCACTTTAATCGATACATCGGCCGATCTGAATACAAATATCGTGGTTATCAGGGGCCAGCGAAAACTTCTGGTGGAGAGACCGAGAGGTGTCGCGGCTACATAACATCACGGTTCGCGACATCACGCACTTTTTTCACGAAAGCGGTTCATCGACCAATGTTCCTCCCGTTCCGACGATAATCGCGCTCAACGAAAGGAGAGTTAACTGCTGCGGTCGCGTGCCGAAGTAAGATTACAGACGCGGTTGCGTTTCGAAGTTAAGCCGACCCGGTTGTACTTGCCAAAGTTAAACCGCCCACATTTTACTCGCCCTTATTTAGCCAGCGGGCGTTTCGACGCGCTCCACCTGCCCGCCACGGCAACTTGGCGATGCACTCTACTTTTTTTGCACACGTATTTTTGCAAACTCGCGTTCCGTAAGCTCGATACAGTTCGGCCGATACGTTCGCGTGAACTGTAAAGAGCCCGCACATGCGGTTGCATGCGGATGATGCGTGTGGCCATGCATTTACATATATGCCCGCTGCACAGGCGTTGCATTCGCGTTGCATTCGCGCGCGCGCGCACGCGGAAGCGTGCGAGCGAACGGGTGGGCGGACGGGCGAATCTGCGTGCGATCAATTTTCGGCTACCGTGTACCGTGACACTTTTAATTTATCAGTTTAATTAACGGGGGTCTACGCCCGCTCGTCAATTACTACGGAAGCGAGTTTATGGTGCTGCAGGCTTTCTTCGTATGCACACCTCTCTTTCTCTCTCTCTCTCTTTGTCTTTCTGTCTTCAAACTTTGTTACTTCTTTCTTTGAAAGTAATAGCACCTGTACACCCCTGTAGTGTATATAAAATTCGATAATGAGGCCTCGGGTGTTTCTATGCAACGCATAAAAATCTCGCAAACAAAATCTGCTCTCGTGTCTCGCGGTATACAGTACGAGTTGTTTCGATGTTTCGTTGAGTCGACGCGACGATACTGCCACGTATCTCTACGCGGTGAAAACATTTTGCATTTACGTTGAAAATGACGTTTATGTCAATGTGTTAAATCAACACGAAAATACGAGGGGATAAACTGGGACATATGAAACATGTATTAAATTCAACACGAAATTTTTCACAGTGTGCTTCTGTGATTTTTCGTTTTGTTATTACAAAGACTGAGCATACTGAATTTTACTAACATAACATATTTAATCAATTTTCCTTAATTCAATCGCGACATTGATTTTCTTTTATGAAAAGGAACTTATGGAAAGAATGTCCGCATTCTCTCGAACGTTATCGCGTGGCGTAAACAACGAGGGAGCGAGAGAAGCGTAAATATAAATAAATAGACGCGCGTATTTCCGCGTTGGCGAATACGAAATCATAACAGACCACATCGAAGAGTACAAGCGCGAAATTGGATAAAGATTGTCTCGGAGATTGTATTTACGAAATTAAATGAATAGGATAAACCAGGGATCACTGATAATATTGATCGCGATGTTCCAAATGCTTTTAAATGAAAGTAACTCCCCCACGTCAGTACGAATGCACACGTGAATGAAAAAATGAAGTGGCTCGCAGTGCCGCCTTGTCAATTGGGAATCGAGCATGGTCGGCGCGGTCGAAAGGTTAGGCGAAACACGAATTTAATTAATTTCCAGCCGCATTGCAGCGTGGCGCGGCGCGGCGCGGCGATTTTAATTTATCAGCTTAATTAATGGGTATCTGTGTATATGCAGGGGTTACCAATTAAAACAGAATCAACGTCATCGGGCTTCACGATTTCTTCGCGTCGCCGTGGCCCGCGTGTGTGCGCGCGTGAATATCGAATAAGGGCGGAAACTAGCGGCGCCGCCGAGCTCTCGCGTATTGCGGAATCCGCAGACAAGCGGCAGAATCCGATAAAATAACTGAAATATTGCGAATAGAGCCGCCGCGTCGTCGGGCGAACCTCTGCGCTTGGGACGAGAAACGCCGCGATATTCGGGCGAACGAAAGTGCGCGCGACAACAAATATCCGCGTAAATTTCCAGAAATATGCTAATAATCTCGCAGCGATATATAGGTCAAAATTTACGACAATGACGACGGGACGACGAGAACGAAGATGAAACGACAGAAGCACACGAGCACGCACGAATTACTCTCGTTAAGGTCGCACGGTTATGCGACGTATGAGAGCGAGCCGGCGAAGCTTGGTTGATATTAATATAACCTGATGATAATTAATCCCGTGTGCAAACAAACGTCCCGAGGGACGCACTTTGCATACTGCGATTTTATTTACGACGAACTTAAAAATCCGTGTCGCGGTTTCTGTGCAGTGTGAGACTTCCAAACCAACGCTCACTTGTGCGTGCGCGCGCGTATATGCGTCGTGCTTCCTTTCATGAGAAAATTAACCTTTTGGATTTTTACTAAGAAAACACATGGACTCTCTAAATTAGTCAGAGAATTTGCAAATGACTGCGAATATACAGGCGACACTTTGTAGTACGTCAATATGTGAAATAAAGATTCACGTTGATATTCGTCGAGTTTCTTCAGAGCGCATTTAAATGCAAAGAACTTTATCAAGCCACGAAGAGACACGCAGGATGATAGTAAATAATCATTGAATAATTATTTCCGCGGGAGAATAATAACGTCAACAAAGTATCTCACGTGTCAAGGAATTTTCAGTCTTTAACGTACGCCGGGCACTAATTAGTCACTATCTTCCAATATCGAACCCATGTATCCCGATGACATTATTGTTAGATTAATCCAATCTTCTACGTTATATGAAAATTGATCTGACATTTTGTCATATATTGTTGCGAGAAATATTGCCTCAGCCAGCAGTCGAGATCGATTCTCCCATATTTGCCGGCGCTAAGGAAAACAATTAAGATAAACAATGTTCATATATATATATATATATATATATATATATATATATATATATATATATATATATATATATATATATATGTGTGTGTATATGTCTAAGGACAACTTCTTCAAAAGAGCGTTCAACACATTATACAAATTTTAATTCATTGATAAAAAAACAACTTTAGATGACAGTACATACAAACATATAATACAAAAAGAAAAGTATTTTAATCTTATGGAAATATTCTGTATGTACAAAAAGAAAAGAAGAAATACGGGAATTATTAATTCGAAAGAAAAGATACATAGTATTATCAAAAATAATAGTTTTAACGCATCTAACCGATTAGAGTATGAAAAGAAAATTCAATAATGGCAATTTCAGTAATATTCGACGCAGCACTGACGTCATTTCATTGACATTATTATTTTCCGACAGAAGTAATAATTGGCAATTATACTGTATACTGCTCTTATTAGTTTGACAAATTTTTTTCAGATTAACAGAAACATTTTATTTTCCGATACATGATGCTAGTACGCAATAAGAATCGTACCGATTGCTCAGCATTATTCAGTGGAAAAATGCACAAACACATACACTTAATACGCCTAAATAAAACAAAATTTCCCCAACCACCTCGTGCAAACATGTTAAACATGTAAATATGATTTTTTGCGCGCAGATACGATCGAATGCGCGGTGTGCGCGCGAGGCGATCAATACTCGTTAATATCTACACAGCGTGCGTAGCGTTATATACTGTAACGTAATGAACCTTTGTATTATAAACACAGGTAATACGGAAAAGAGGTCGGAGGCCGAAGAAAACTGCGTGTGCGGTCGCGTTTATCGCGAAATTTCTCTTATTTACATTCATTAATGGGCCCGCTCGTGCTAGTGTAAAGTAAACGATCTCGAGTGCAATATGTCTTACCTTCTCTATTATGCATACGAGGTTTATGATAGATCCTACGTCGACGTGATGCTCGTCGCTCCCTAATATAAACGCCTCTGGTATCACTATATTTAGATTGACGAAGTGTGACAGTATCCCTGTATTTCTCGAGACCTGAAAAATAAAAGACATTGCAGTGAGTGAGTTTTTCGCGGGATTGCGCGTAGTACTTGGCGCAGTATGAGTAAGAAAAATATTAAGAGCGAGCAAAAAGGAAATTGAGCGAAAACTCTTGAATGAAAATTCTCATTTTGTATATTCGAAACAATGAAGTAAGTAAAAGTACCAATTGGATACTAATAACACATGTTGATATCTAATTTTGTGTACCTTCTCTTTGTTTTAGTTCTTAAATACGGATATTTAAACTTTCAAGGTGAAACATATGTGTGTGCTAAAACATATATATACATTTTTTTTTATATTAAAAGTTTAAATATTCGTATTTAAAGATGAAAACAAGAAGAATATCCAGAATTAGGTACCAATATTATTAATGTCCAGGCATTGATATTTTTAACTCAGTTGAAACTTGCAAATCTCAAGTTGTTATTTCTTCTCAAATTTTATCTCAAGTTGGTTGTAGTTGAATCGATGATGAACATAATGCGAAATTTATAATGGCACTGTTATATAACTCTAGATAATGTAAGTGTCGTCATAGAAGTTGTCACGATGTTGTAGCGTAAAAGCGTGCGAGAGGAAAATAATTAAGAGAAAAGGGAGATGTTATATCGATTCAAGAATCTTCTCACGAGACACCAAGATACACGAGAATGAGGAGAGTTTATAGCGCGGTTTCGAAACACGACTGAAAATATAATTATGATTTTAATTAAAAACCTTAATTGCGCGTGTTGCGCGCGGGAATATCTTCCTGAATTCTGGTTTCTTTCACGCAGCTTCGTTAAAATAAATAAAAAACATGGTAACGAAAAGAACCTGTTTCTTTTGTTCTTCATTAAGTGTATCTCTTGATCACGCTCGAGAAACATTACGAAATCTTTTTTTATCTGACGTATCTGTTAAAACCACCTCTCTCTCTCTCTTTCTCTCTCTCTCTCCTCTCTCTCTCTCTCTCTCTCTCTCTCTCTTTCAAGTATTATTGGTCGTCATCGAATATGTACTCATATATATATATATATATATATATGTGTGTGTGTGTGTGTACATCCACACACACGCATACACGTAATTTCAGTGCACTATAGCGGACGTGGTGGATGTGCGGCGAACTTTTCTACCGGCTCCAAGTTCGCCGCAGGACAATGGTCTCGTAGGTAGAGTACGCCGCGTGCATAAAAAAGCATTATGCGAGTTTGAGAAGCGTATCGTTCCGCTGCCAAGTTGGAGCGCCGGCCGTCTCGTCGCGAACTTTCTTGACTTACTGCGAACAGCGCCGGGCGCATCCTCGAGATGCGCCACTTCCACGGTACGCAGCATGGCCGTCGCGGTAAAAACGTTACCGCGAATAAATATACAGTTGGATGATGGTATTTTTTTGAAACGCTTTTACGCTATAGACGACGCGCGAGCGCCTTCTGCCTGCGTATACGTCGCGGTTATGAAACGTCATGAAACGCCTCGCTGCTCTCGCCGCTGCTTTCCTCGGTTTTTTTCCGTTTTCAGAGAGATACATACGCCGAAGAGTGAGTGAGAGAGAGAGAGAGAGAGAAAGAGAGAGAGAGAGGGAGGGAGGGAGGAGGGGGGAGGGAGAGAGAGGGTGGGAGGAGAAAGAGACCTCGCTATACGCGCTGTATACCCGTCCACTATTGTCGCGTGCGGGTGTATAATCGCATTAATAAAACGGTATATTCTATGGACGACGTGTTATAATAGCGGCGAAACCTTGTGTGCTTTTGCATGACAAAGGAGAAAATTGACAAGCGCTGATGCTCTTGTTGTCTCGTGGATGGTGGGTAGGGTCACTCCCGGCACAAAAGAACAGCGGATAGGAGACGAGAGTTAGCTCAGTTAATTAAATCCCCGTGCATTTAACTGTCTTGAAAAATCCGTTATCAAGCACGGCGTATCTGTCGGCTATAAACTCGCGACGCGTAATGACATAATTGTTATCCCCCGCGGCTAAAGAGCCAAATTGACTCCGGTTCTCGGCTGTTTCAATCGTACGACACGAGCCACGATGATATTTTTTAATTGAACAAATCGACGTGCTTATTTTTCTATTACGACGCCTTATCATTCATTTCTCGTCACTTGATGTTCCTTTCGATCAAAAACGACATCACAAGACGCTATAATATTGCTCTTATCATTTGCAATATTTCTCCTGAAGATTCATCGATCGTTATACTCAGATCTGCTAATGTTGAACTTGCAAATAATAATATAAAGCAAACTCGTTAATTAAAATCGATGTTAGGAGAGTTAAAGATATACTATCCGGTAAATTAAATTAAGAACTTTCCTAATAATAAGAATGGCTATAAGGCGGTCAGATATTTTTTTTACTGTTTTTTTTTCAGTACTGACTGAACTTCAGTAATATAGAGAAATAAGTGTAGAGGAACAAAAGTACACATTATCTCGTTACATCATCGATATAGAATTGATTTGATCTATCGCGCGGAAAAAAATCTGGAGTTGGATTAACCAAATATCTGGTACCATGGTAATATGGACGAACTAGAATTTTGGTTGAAGTTACTAGGATTCTGTTAGAGTTAACAAGATTTGACATCAACAAGACCTCTGGTTGACCAGAAATCCTATTAGTTTGAACAGATCTTGTTTTCTTCAACAGAACTGTCAAGACTTGACATCAACAAGAAATTATTTTCTTGAATTGAGTCTTATCAACCTGAACAGAATTCTGGTAACTTCAAGTCGAATTTTGGAATGTTCATATTTTACTAGACATTTAATTAATTCTTTCCGTGTAACTCGATCTCATCATGTGAATTCGGAAATATCTTTAGCAGTGCTGTTTAATTATCGACATATTAACACTTTTACCAGAAAGAGCATAGAACATAAAAAGAGGGAGAGAGTGAGAATGAGAGAGAGAAAGGAACTCCAAACTGGCCAAGAAATTTCGTAGCACGAAATGCGCGGGCGTGAATTTGCGACCGCGCTGCACGATACTACATTCGCAGTGATATACTCGGTCATTTCGCCGACTGACTCTATAAATACGAGCGACGGACGGCATGTTGCATGCATGTGTGTGCTCTGTTCGCTGCGGTCTTTCGCCGTCGAAATGAGCGGCGTGGTCAATGCGCATACGAAATCGCGCGAATTAAAAGTATGCGCGTACTGATTAATCGTTTGGTAGAGAGTAGCGCCCCGGTCATCGTTTGCGTTTATTGTCGTTTCCTCGATCGCGTCGGCCGCTGAATGTCGCGCCGCACCGCGCCACGCCACGCCACGCCACGCCACGCCACGCCACTTCGCCACGGAGAGTGACGTTTATTTTCATCGCGCTTGAATAACGGCAGATAAATTTGCGAAGGAAATATTACCCCCGCGCACGCTTCTCACGAAATTTTATCTTGCCGCTGCAGAGGGACGCTCTCGCGCGCGCGCGCACGCGCGCCCTCCGCTATAAATGTCGCGCCATGAATTTCGCGTGCGCCGGACGACGAGCTTTTTTCCCCGGCTTTCCAAGATAAAATCACGGACCATCTGGCGCGGATATGCGTTTACAATTACGCCGCGCCGCGAATTGCCTATGTAAATGGCATTCGTCGCTTTCGCGTTCGCGTCCGGCGAACGGACCGCGTGGCGCTTTTTTTTCGCGATTAATACGCGGCCGTCGCGCTGGCTCGGAATATCCCCTTCCCTTCCGCGGGATTATCGACCCCGTGTATCGTTCGTTTTCCTCTTCTATTCCTCTCTGTCTCTCTCTCTCCTTTTTTCGCTGCCTCCGAAAATGCGCAGATACTCTTATCTGACGTAGAGGGGATAAAAAACGACGTCTGTCATGGATCGGCCGTTCGAAAATCTCCCAATTGTGCGAAGGAGGGCCGACCGTCCTGGATTTTCAGGAGTAAGGCTCGAGCATATATCAGCCACGGCTTCGCTCCCCTGCAAAATGCTCCACGAAAATACGCTCTTTGCGTCGGCCATTTGACCCCCGCGCAAATATATCAGAAAGGTTCCTTATGCTAGCGTGGCTCGACATGCCCGTGGCACGGGCACGATTATCGCGTTGACTTGCCCCAAAATAATGCATTTCCCTCGACTCCCCCGCACTGTGTTTCGCTGGGCGTTCACGCGCAAGTCGCGAGAAATTGAGTTTGGGAAGTGTGTTGCGTTCACCCAACATACTACATTCTATGCGAGGCGACTGTTCCTCCCCATACCGTCGACTTGATTAACACACGATTTCTATCCACTAGATCCACTATTTTCGTTATCTCGCATCTGTCGTTTAGCATTTCTATTCGATTGGCCCACACGTTGCATGCTGTTCTTCAATCCTCATTTAGTTGACGTTTCCCGTAGAACAGATTCGACAAACACATGCGAACCGTATCGGACTAGTAATTACAGCGCCGTAAACTAAATCAACAACGCGCGCGCGACTGAAAATATACATAAAGTTTATGTTTCTCGGAGAAATATAAAATCCCTGAAATTTATAATGATGGCGCGGATCCCTCGGCATATTGCCTTTCTGTTTGTATTGTTCTTACGCCTTATTATATATATTTGATTTTTTGGATCGCGCGAAGTTAATAATTAAAAACCCGTTACACGCAAAGTACACACGTTATTTCGTTACAAACAAATACTTTTCATACGCTAGTTTTACGGCCGCTTCGTGCTGCGGGGGTTTCGCAATCATGAAAATCCGTGGGCACGGCTTTTTCATCCGTCGCCGATCGCCCGTGCGTTGATTAAAAATTTCTCTGTATCTGCAGCGCCATGTTACTCCGCGCGTTTGATTACACCCACGCTCGCAATAGAAACAGTAGCGAGTTTCGTGCACATTTCCTCTTCTTTTTTATTGCAATATTCTTAGTTAATGCCGCGTGAAATTATATTCGTTGTAACGTGTGGACGCGCAGTTGAAATTAGATGAATTCAGTTCAATCAGTCGAATGATTACCTTTCACGGTGTATCAGTTATTTGTTTGTAATTTAGTGTG